TATATATATATATATATATATATATATATATATATATATATGATAATTGTGTAAGTATAGATTTAACTCCTTTATTACAGTGTGAATAAACCATAACCGTTACATCAATTAGATATTATATGGAAAGAAAGAATAGAAAACAAATGTTTTTGGAAATTCCACTAAGCAAATATTTGTTATAAAGGCTTTGTTATAAATAAATAACATGCATGCTTTCCTCTGGAATTAGGAAGATTTGGTGTTAACTACTAAGCCTATTCACTGCTCTAAATTGTTCACAAGGAAAAAAAAGCTATCAAAATGTATTATTTTACATGCACATGAATGAACTATAATTCAAATGGATTAACTATCTTTACTTGTCATGCATTGTATGTAGGTAGGAGGAATAAACAAGGACAAAAAGCAGCTTACTCACCCACACCTAGAATAATATACCTTCACTTATATATTGATCACAAAAAATACAATGTAAAAGACATAGCAAAAGAAAATGTAAAAATCGACAGACAATATTATAAAATATAAACTCACAAAAATCAAAATTATTTCTCAATATTTTTATATTGAGATTTCATAAACAAAATAAATAGCAATTTATAAATTAAAGGAAACTGTTAAACATGATAAAAAGATTATAAACATTTACAAATCGAACTGAACCGGGAACTAAGCCTCATTCAACCCATTGGAGCATATTCCAAAGTATGCATTGGATTGGCTGTGTACTATTATCTCTATTCAAAGTTATTCTGTCAATAAAGTAGTAAAAAGCATGAATAATGCATATGGCAACTAAAAGCTTAACAACTGTGTTTTATAAATTATGTTCACTTTTACAAGGCTGAAATATTGCATTTATGGCAGAACAAGTACTTTCCTTCAAATTAGCTATCAATTTAGTTGTGAGCTATGTTTTAACAGTGCAAAATAAAAAAATATCCTTATCTAACTGATACTTAGTTCAATTCTGAAAAATACCATCTACATTTTTTAATTATTCATATGCCTGTTATTCAGAACTGGACAGAGATAGATTGCATGTAATCTTTCCTTTCCTAAGAGGTCTGTAGGGGGCATGCATAAGCACACCAACGTGCCTACCGTCCCCGTCCTATTGTTTCTTTTTATTTTTCTTATATGTATCCATTTCATGTATTCATAACTAATGTTTATGCTCATGCCTATTATCTTGTAAGCGATTGACAAATCAAATAAATAAAATAAATACCACCTGTGATATTTCTGGTGGACTCGTTAATTTTTCCTAAGACAGCACTTGCATCATCAATATTGCCAAAACATCCAATGGTTTATATTTGTAAGAGTAGTATTAAATATAAAATCACACATAATTATATATCAAACACTACAAAGTAAATTGCTCAAATGGTAAAAAAAAAACCTATCAAAAATTGTAAAAATGGTTAAAGTACAATCAACTCACCAAAAGAATCAATACAAATATCAATAAGTTCATCTAGGATCACTCCCTTGCTTAAGTGTCCCAACGACATTGTCATGCAGTAGAATTCAGTAGTTTCAGCAAGATCTGGAGATCAGTAGCTGCCTTTGAATTAATGCTGCATCTTTGAAGCGTTCCTAGAGAAAGAACAGGGGGAAAACTCCAGTCACATGATAGAATAACATTTCACAAAAGCCTCTGCAGCAGGTTGAAAAATACAACAGTTGCCAGGATCACAGGAATTGGGTTACTGAAACAGTCCCCTCCCATTTAGAAAATGCATCAAAGGTTCCCCCTTCTGTGGAAGATATTTCCTTCCATTAATGTACTCATTAGTCTACATGTTTTCTAAAGAGCCACATGTGGTTCTTATGGCACACACAAAGCTCCATTTTCTTAAAGTCTTTAAGCATACACAAGAAGAAAATGCAGCATTGAGTAACCAAAATCATAGCTTGCATATATTAGAATGCATTCATTGCACTGTCATAGTCCCTTTACCAATGAACAAATTAAAAAAAATAACAATTTAATGTATTTAAATAATATACTAAAGCATAAACTATCATAATTGCTAAGTTCACACAATATGATACGCTAAAACTAAACCAAGCACGTTATGATTTAACTTACTCTGAATTAATCATACAGAATCATAGACCCGGAGCAACTTCATTTACAGGTAGCCCTCAACTTATGTCTATAATGAAGCCTGCAATTTTGGTCGTGAGTTGTAATGGGGTCATCACATGATCACACCTGATTTTACGTTTGCAGCAGTCATTAAGCAAACATAGTGATTGTAAAGCAAATGCATTTTATCATTAAGTGAATTCTCTATGGAACATTTTTTTAAGAAACCAGAAGTAAACAGTTCTTTGGGAAAACATCATAAATTGTAGTCACATGACTATGGGATGTTGCAAATGGCCATAAATGTAGGTTGGTTGCCAAGTGGACATTGGAACTTCAAATTCAGATCATAAGTTTCTTGTTCAGAATCCATTGTAACTTTGAATGGTCGCTAAATGACCAGTCATAAGTTGAGGATAACCTGTTCAGGGCTGTCAAATTCCCGGCCCATGGGCCGGATGCATCATACGCAGGCCAGGCCCACGCCCAGTTTAGCAAAGGGGAAAAATTCTGGATACGTCACGTGATGCCACCGTGACAAGCGTAGTTTGACAGCCCTGCTGTAGTTCAACTTTTTGCCATGAAAACAGACCACTGGTATAGGATCCTTGAGAGGTAACCATCAATTTTCTCTTAAAAGGCTCCAGTAATTGAAAACCCATCTCTATCTGCTTTTTAATAACTTATATTGTACTACCAACCCCCTCTTTAACATCTGATTCTGCTGGATCAGATTTTATGTTTCATATTAAAAGAAAAGATCCAATTTATCTAAATAAATTAAGTGTGCAAGATATGGATTGGGACTGTGTGGTCTGAATGCTTCCCAATATTGTAAACTATTTAATACTTCTACAAAAATACTAGGTTTCACACAAGCAAACATTTGGGTATCTGACAAAAACTGAAATAGCTTTTGATATTATTCTATCTTGCCAATATGGTATGAAACAGTCATAAATCATGTGGACATTTACTTATCTTTATTTCCTTATGTCTGGTAACCATAAAGTTATAGTAATTCAAATGTATGTATGATCAGGAAGCTCAGGTGAGATTCAACTATGTTGGCAAGATTCAGAGTCTCAGAGATGGGATATTGTCCTTGATGGATCTCCCAAAAGGTGCTGTTTCCAAAAGGAAAAGAGCTTTCCTGGTTTTTTTTTCTTACAAAATATTTCGCTTCTGAAGAAGTTTTTTAGATGAGAAGCAAAATATTTTGAAAGAAAAAAAAAAACGAAACACAAAAAGCACCTTTGGACAAACATGATCTGGTTAATTGAGATTATCCATAGACATTGTCCTTGATGACAAAAATGAAAGTCACTGTTGTCCAAAAAGTCTGACTTTTTTTTACAAATAGTGAATGAAGTCCAGATGAATTCTTTATGCATTGTATGCTAAATGTATGCTAAAACCTAAGGGCACATTTAAACAAGTAGTAAGCAATTGATAACTTACCTATGTGCAAGACATATGATTGCACAGTTACTCCAGGTATTTCAGATCTGGCACAAGATTTATTCAATTCTGTATTTCTCTGTTTTCAGCAGAACATTCCAAATCATTTGTCTTTCTATGAACTGAGCTGAAGGGAAAATATCTTGATGAAAGGGTAAAGAACCCCCACCCAGAAATGTTGGTAAGACATCCTGAATCAGAACTCAACTCTTAGTGACATCCATACAATTTTTTTTTGGCAATGTCACATAATAGTCAACTAGGCCATCTTCTACTGGGAAATCTTTGAAAGAAAGGATATTTTAGCAAGATTCTAAACATAATTTCTAGTTTGTAGCATAACAATTTGAGAAATGCTCATTTTAATTCTTATCTGCTTTTTACAAGGACTATTATACTGTAGTTCTTACTGCCTTTTGAAATGCTGTTGGTTTATTTTTTTATGTCATTTACTATGTACTGTACTTTTAGTAACTTCATTCTATTGCATTTTAGATACATTATTCTGTTTTAATATAGAACCATCACCCAGAAGGCTATTATTAATTTTCAAAAAATAATTAATAATTGATCAAATCACCAGGCACTGATAGGAATCGCTTTTCATTTTATCCTCATAAAAACTGTAAGTTGATTTGACAGAAAGTGATAGCTCAAAGCTTACAATGCATTTCCATAAGTAAGGATAGACTGAAGTTTGGATTTTCCCAATTCCGATGTTTGTTTATACAATAGTAATTACACTAATTTGGCAACTACCATACCAAATATGTAGACAATTTTTTAAATAAAAAGTAGAGTCAGTCATCAATTACAGAAAGAGCTGAGATATTGAGTGTAGAGGAGAGGAGCTCATAAACTCTAGAGTTATTTATTACAGTTTTTGGTGGAAGCCAAGTCAATGTTTATGTTAATGTGTCCTTCTAAGTGGAAAATTTGCACACAAAGAACAACCAAATTTTTAGACATGCTTAGAAATTCTAGAAGGTTTTGCATGGCTAGTTAAGAGAGAGTGTGCACAAACATCCAAGATAATACAAATTAGCCTCTGTTCTAAAATGCTGAGAACTGAGCTTGGTGTATGTGCATCCATGTGTGTTCACAAAGAGCAAATTTAGTAGCATTTTTCTCCCATATTTTGCAAGTTTCAAAGAAGTTTCTCCTAAAATCTGAGAACATTTCTAAAGCATTGGGAAAAGTTAGCTTCTTCTCAGAGGTAACTCTGATGTGTCTATCAAGGAAAGCATTTTATCCATTTCCTGCCTTAAACTCCTATTGGGAGGACGGGACTGAAGAACACATTGGCAAACATTGCTCAGGGATGTCTTCAAAGGGACTCAAAAGTTCAACATGACAGGCGCAACTGTGTTATCAAAGCTCCAGCCCTTTTAACATGCCTTGCATAGATAAAAAGGGGTGGTGGGACTTTGATCAGCCCACCTGTTTCTACTGTTTAATATTGTTGACTCTCCCCTCCCATGACACCCCTGATGCTTCCTTAGTATTTCTAGTCTCACATGGGAATTATGGAGACTTTACCCAGACTCCTCCCTCCCTTCCCTTCCCTTCCTTTTTCCAGGGAAATAAAAATCTTAACTCCCTAAAAACAAAAAAAAGAATAAAAACTGGTAAAACACTGCTGTACATGAGCAGACCTGGCAGAGTCACCTGACAAAATATTTTATGCATCACTATAATGAAATAAAGAACAGGTAAACATAATATCTGATTATGTCTATGCATGTTTATTTTGTTAGTTGCATTATTGCAGATAGATTGCAGAGAACTGCCTAGTTAGAAAAAAAAGACAATCCCTGGAAAAAAAGACAAAAAAGAAAATAGCTTTAAAAAGATACCAAATTTTGTCTTCAACTCTATATATCTTTTTAAGCTCATTTCAAGCCCAATCTAATATCTATTTAGATGTAAACCCACACAGTGAAGGGTACATTGTACACTAGGATACACCAGAGCTGTGTTTCTCATCTCTAGTAATTTTAAAATGTGTGGACCTCAGTTCCAGAATTCCCCAGTCAACATGTTTTATTTAGCCCTTTCCCCCTCAGGACTAACTTTTCACTGTGCTCCTTTCTCTAAGATTATGGCTTATTTGTCCCCTGTCTCCTCTACTACCCTCTTTTGTTTTCTTCAAAAAGAATATCAAAGCCAGTCGTGGGATTCAGCTCATTAACAAGCCCTTAGCAATCCTTAAACCTATCCTTTCTTGACCCATCTGCCCATTGCTTTCCAACCTCTGAATCTTAACGAGTGCAACGTATTACCTGCTAAAAGCTATCCTTTACCGCAATCATTCCCATGAGACATTAACATTTGAACACACTAAACAACTGAAAACAAGCACACTGTGGGACCCCAGCGCAAATGGTTATGCAAACTTGGATAATTGGTTAACTGAGTAAGCCATGATCAAGTTACTCATGGGGACTTTTGTTGTGTGAACTCAGTTACTGGATCATAATTCAACTCCTGGAAAGCAACATTCCTTAAGGAAATGCCTTAAAAAGTGATACACAGCAACAACTGTTTCTACATTTCATAAAGAGCACCTACATTTTAGCACCTGTAAAAATAGGGGGGGGGGGATATATCTAAAAAGGAGTATTTTCCCTTAAGTTATTGAGCATTCTTTTACATCTAGCTCCCTAAATATTCAGACTCTTTAAACCTGTTTAAAGACTAATGAGTACAGAACTTTATTACAGATGTATCCCCATGACAAACTAGCAAAGCAGTGCAGACTTTTTCAATGGGTTTTTATTGTCCCAGATGTGTTGAGCAACAGCTATTATTGCTTCCTGTCAATAGGGTCATAGTAGCTAGATTCTTGCGGTCCCTAGAATTAGAAAATCTCCTTTAAAGCAGTTCTAGTGGGACAGCCTAACAGAATAAGGCATTCTTTCCATTTCGTTTTTTTTTTTAACATATTATTAAAAATTCTACCCTACGCACGCAGCACACTCACTATCACCCGTTCAAAAACAGTGGAAACAGAGAAAAATGAATCTTGCTTGATGACTGCTTGCTCCTGGGCCAGAGTTCCCGTCCGCTGCCAAACCTCCATCTGGTTGTGTTCAAAGACGCCCGTTCCCAAAGACGCCCGTTCCCAAAGACGCCAGGTGGGAAGAACCGCGCTGACCAATGAAGGGAAAGACACAACTCCCGAAACGACGGGAAAGGCAGTGGGGAAAGTTAAGGCATGCAAACTTACCGGTTCCGACTCCTGTTTTTTCGTCTCAGCCTCGTTGGCTCGGCCGAAGAACCACGCCGAAGTCAGCACGTCCGAAGCCAGCATGAAACTGCCGGTGTATTCCTGCTTGTCGCCGTCGAAGCACGGAGAGCCGAGCTCGTAAGGCGGACCGCCGAGGGGGGCGGAACCGACGAAAACTTTGCTGGCACGAGGAAGTCGCAGAGCGGTTAGACCCTGGGCGACGTCTCAGATTTTCCTCATGCACACGGCTCTCCGAACTCCGCTCGAGGCGGAAGCGCCCACCACGTGTCTCTGCCGCCTGGCTTTCTTCAGCGTCACCCAGGTGCCCCTTGCGCTCAGCCCGGCCCGGCCCGGGGGAAGAGGGGATCTTTGCCCGCCGAGCGGCGAGGCTGCAGCCACGAGGTTTCTGCCTGCCGATTGGTCCACCCACCCCCGCCCGAGCCATTGTTAGGAGGTGGAAAATAGGAATACTGATGTTGGCATACCGGTTCTCCACGTCACGCCTCCTCTACCCTAAAACAAAAGCAGTACCAAATAATGTTGCCGTTCTTACATATCCGATAAAAAACGCGTGTAATGTAATCTTGGAGAAGCCAAGGCCTCAGCCCAGCAACTCGTATTTTCCAAAGTTTCCTTCCCCTTTCAAGGTTATGTTACTTTATAACGGTGTATTTTAGTTACTTTTGTTTCTCGTTTAGCTCATTCTTGGTTATAAGTAAGTATGCTAGGTTTCAGGAACTTTATTATAGACTTTTATTCGGCTCATTAGTTATGTTTAGATATAGTCGTTCAAGTGTTTGTTCAAGTGAGGTAAAATGGTGCGGGCAAAGATTCTAATGGATTTGAACAACATGGGAAAAAGAAACGTCCAGGCATCAGTCTGGGATCCCTTTTTCTTTTTATCAAATCTGCTAAACAGCCAAAGATGTAATCTGTAAGCAAAATCTGTAAGCAAAATGAATTTTCCTCTCACCTTTAACAAGTTTGCAGCCCTTGAATCAATTAAATGGGACCTTCAAACAGAACTGAAAAAAAACAACAGCTGCTAGATATTTCACTACCTGGCAGGCATTAAAATGTGGATTCTCTTCCCATTTCTCACTCTGTTTATAACTTGCTAATTCACCTGTTTATAACTTTGCTAACCTTAAGGGACATTTTTCAAAAAGCTTACAAGTAAGATGTAAATACAGACTACTGAAAGATTCCCCACAGAAAATTCAATGTAGTTTAAACCCAAATAATCTTATTATTTGAGCATACTTATAAATAGCATACTAATTTATAAAATATTATTTGGAATTCCTGGAAAAATATTTTGATGCTCTGTTAAAAAACATGATGCTGGACCTAACACTTCATTAAGACTATGCAGAAGCCCAGGTTAAGCTTTCTGACATCTAAAGGTGCTTTTTCAGGAGGCAACTGGACTTTCATGTTTTTTCTTTGAAGACATTTCATTGCTCATACAAGAAGCTTCTCCAGCTCTGACTGGATGGTGGGGAACAGAAGGATTTAAGCAAAATGTCCAGTTGCCTCCTGAAAAAGCACCTTTGGGACAACCATGACCTGGATGACTGAGAATCTTTACAGACTTTTAGCTATGCAATTTGGGATGAATTACTCTTTGAATGGTGTGGGAGTATGTATGGATTTCCAGAAAAAAATGCAGGCTACAAGAACTCAGGTGACCCTGAGGACACAGGTAAACCTCCAAGTGCTTCAACAACCCTGTAAAAAAATGCAAGTGACCAGCTGTCTGCAAGGAATATAAATCCTTCTGTTCCCCACCATCCAGTCAGAGCTGAAGAAAGTTCTTGGATTAGAAGTGAAACATCTTCAAAAGAAAAAACGAAGTCCAGTTGCCTCCTGAAAAAGCACCTTTGGAACAATCATGACCTGGATAACTGAGAAGCTCTATAGATTATTTCTGACATGTTCTCTGATGAAGGGCAAATTGTTAAAATAAAACCGACAAAACTGCAGTCAAATGACTTTATTAATAGATCCTTATTCCTTGACAAGGCAAAGATTGGGACTTCATACATATTAAACCAGAGGGTGGGCAACTAATTTTCTCAAAGGGTCACAGGAGAACCTGGGACTGTTGTGGATGGCTGCTGCTCCAATGTTGCCCCATTGCTGCCCTGCCCACTGCTGCTGCCCCAGAGCTGGATGTGGCTTGTGGATTATAAAGTGCCCAGCTCTGTAGTAAACCCACTTTAGATATTCCCTGCAAATTAAATTGTTCATTTTAGATGCAACAAATTTCTCTCCATATCTATCAGAACAGTCTTCATATTGGATGCTAGAATTCTTAGGACAGCAATGATAACTTCCCAGGGACAACAACTTTACAACACAGACAGATACCTCCTGTGAACGGATCTGCCTAATCTCCCTATTGACTTGGAATATTGCTAGCTGGTCAGGACCATCAAAAAACAATCTTTGAATATCTAAACCTGGGCCGCCACATCAGAGATAGAGTTGGGGTAGTTATTGGTCAATTCATTATAGACTACCCAGGTAAGATAGGAGGGGGACCCAAGGGAGTTAATGCAGTTTTACAATTGAAATGTGTTCCTCTGCCTCCTTTAAACCCAGGGGTATCTGTCTTCCTGCTGTCCCTCAACCAAATTGAAATCATATTCCTTAACATTAATGATTAACATCCCTCTTCTAAAAAAACCCATATCCAGACTAACAACACCCAATATTCAATTTTTTATTGTCACTTGCTTATTCACCCTGCAGTAAGGCGTCCTTGATGCTCTCTGAGCTTGGTTGCTTTCTTCCTCAGATTTCATTACCCAAACTAAATAATATCATCAGTGCTAGTGATGGTACGTGGTATATTAGTGCTAGTTATTGGTACATCCTGCAGCAATCAGCAAAAACTAACAGGAATTTAAATGCCAGGATTGGGACAAATGATTTCAGTTCAAGACCTTTCATGAGGAGGATATACCAGAAGGACCCTTATAACCTAGATAATTTAAGAATCTAAAATCTAATTGGGCAGGATTATGTGTTAGGCAGATGACTCCTCTGGAGCTTTGCTTACTCAGTCTCTAGATGAGGGTGATCCAGCAAAACATGCTTACTGGGAGGCAGGGATAAAATTAATAATTTAAAACTGGATCACATTGCATAATCCTGAATGCTGTACAATGGATGGATTCATATATTCAGAATTAGAAAGCAATCATTACCTCCAATATTAACTATAACTGCCTCTTTCAATGCTGGAAAATAATAACACAGAGTTGGAATGGAATGAAAGTAGTGCAAAAGCAATTGCTAAATGGCTAACAGCATCAGAAACCTTAGAAATTCATGTACATCTGCCAGGCAAATCTCAAAAACCATACTTAGACTTGTATTTTAATTTCAAAATAGTTTTTGTCAAAGAAATAAAACTTCAATAATTGGGGTGTACAACATTAAAAAAATGGTTTGATCAGGATTGTGCACAGCTGAAAAGATCATATATGGCATATAGAAAGACTAAATATTTTTGATAGAAGAGAATATATGTAGCTTAGGATCCTATATGTTCTTTTAGCGTGGTTGTTTGCAGATGTTTACCCAACTGGGTGACATAATCAGTGCTAGTGAGTGTGGTGCTTATGTACAGTAGCTTGCCCTGTCAGTGTTGGTGGTGTGGTTTTCCTCCTTGGCGGTTCCTTGATTAGGGTTTCTGTCTGATGATATTTCTTGATTATCAGGGTGTTGGTTGATTATCTGGAAGTTTGGTTGCCATGACATAAAAAAGAAATTGAGACTCTAGAAGGGTGCAGAGAAGAGCAACAAAGATGGTTACGGGACTGGAGGCTAAAATATATGAAGAATGGTTACAGGAATTGGGTAGGTCTAATTTAATGAAAAGAAGGACTAGGGGTGACATGATAGCAGTGTTCCAAAAACACAAAAAAGAGGGGGACAAAGCACTTGAGGGTAGGACAAGAAGCCATAGATGGAAATTAATCAAGGAGAGAATGAGCCTAGCTCTAAGGAATTTCCTGATAATTAGAACAATTAATCAGTGGAACAACTTGCCTACAGAATCTGTGGATGCTCCAATACTGGAAGTTTTAAGACGAGATTGATCAACCATTTGTCTAAAATGGTAGAGAGTTTCCTGCTTGAGCAGGGGGTTGGACTAGAAAACCTCCAAAGTCCCTTCCAATTCTGTTATTATTATGAAGAATAAAAAGTTCAATGAAGTTGTGCAGGTATCCATTTTGTTAGAAGGTGTTGTGTAGATGGACTGTTAAATTTTTTCTGGTGTTTTAGATTGTTGCAGTGTGTTTACACTTTTCTGAATGTTTTTTACACAGCTTTTCTTGTGCAGGGTTGGGTTGTTATTTGGTAATAGAGCACTTGGTCAGCATCTATTGTTGGGGTGTTTGTTTTTTGATAGATCTATGTTTCTAATTTGCCATCAGCTCCTCTGTTAATGAGGATATACAGGAAGGATAGTATGTTGTTCTTTTCTTCTTCCCTTGTGAATTTTATTACTTTGAACATATTATTAATTGTTTAATGTATCTTCTCCAGTTGTTCCTTTTTTATTGCAGCAAAACTATTGTCTAAATACCAGACCAGGTCACATTGCACTTCATTTAATGGAACTTCCAGTAATCTTTTAAGGTTTTGGACCAGTAACATTTATTGTTATTTAGAAAAAATAAGATGGTGCAATGAAACTGAAAAATTAGTTTGTCAGCCAGCATTTTAAAACCACAAGAGATATATTTACTCCTACCAAACTAAACTTCTCCACTCTCCATCTAGTTCACCATATATTAGAAGTTTCTATCTTGACTCATGATAAAAAAATTTCACTAAGTGTTTTACTTCACTTTTCTAATGTTAAACTAAAGATTAATAAATTATTCTTTGAAATATCTAAACTGATGCTTATTGATATTTGCTGTTTGCATAACTCTGTTGCCAATTAATAGATTTTTGCAGTTCAGATATAGTATTTTTCCCATTAACTATTTATTTATATATATCATATTGTACCTATAATTATATATAATAAATTATTATATAAATATAAGTATTTATATAAATATTTACAGTTATAAAATAGTAAGAAAAATTATGAACCCTGAATTTAAAATTTACAGTAACTTAAATGTAAAAGTATAAAGTATTTTTAAAAGTATAAATTACTTTTTCAATTATATCCTTGTATAATATATATAAAGCAAACTATATGAAAATTAGAAATAAAAATGTAGAATGTACATTTTTTCATATTTTAAAATATGAAGTCTAGAAATACAGATTGTCCTCAACTTACAACAGTTCATTTAATGACCATTCAAAGTTACAATGGCCCTGAAAAAAAGTGACTTATGACCATTTTCAGTTACGACCTTTTCAGTATCCCCATGAAAATTCAGGCACTTGCTATTCCCCAAGATAATTTGATCCTCTTTTGTGACCTTCTGACAAGCAAAGTCAATGGGGAAGCCAGATTCACTTAACAACCGGGTTACTAACTAATCAACTGCAGTGATTCATTTAACAACTGTAGCAAGAAAGGTCATAAAATGGGGCAA